TACCTCTTTAACATTCTCCGTGTTGTAATCCTTATCTTTTATCATTCTAATTAGCAGATCTACAGGAAAAACATGCCAAAACATTGTACATATATTTTTAATATTCATTTACACAACACAAAATAAATATTATAACCAGTGTCCCAGCATTCTGCTTGTGCTATAAAAGTGTCAAGAGGTAAACGGTGATGAAGTGACCAAGGTCAAATCTGTATAGCAACTCTCTACTGTATAACATTAACAATTTTTCATACTTATTTTTTTTTCTAAATAGTCATTGATGTCAGCAAGAAGGTATTATAACAAAAGACTACAGTCAAAATAAAAAGGTAGACTATACACACAGTAATACTCTATTAATAGGTGATGATGAATGGAAATTCGTCATTGTAACGTGAACAACCTTCAATGACATTTCTATGCAGTAATATTTCATTCAGTAGGTTTCTGTAAAGTAATGCTTTATTCTGTTGTTAGATTAAATCATAATTGTCTGCAGGAATAGATGTATAAATGTAGTAGTGCATGTTTGATCCAGTAATTATAGATAAAAGATACATTGTTAACATTTTATGAACAGCTTTGAACTTTGAGGTTATGCAATATGAAAAGTAATTTTCTTTCAGCATACAATGATTTTAAAGGTAATAATTAACTTAAAAGTTTGCTTTTCCATTTGTGATGCAGACTGCACCTACGCAGGCTGTAAGGGTACAGCAATAAACATATTTTTGTAGTAAACAAAACTCTTGGAAAGGTGAGAGATGATTCAAATCTCATGAACATTTGCATGGTTATTTGCACAGTGGTTTATCTTCTGACAATTAACTGAGTGCATTTATCCCACCTGAATAAGCACCATCTAACCATGCGCATAACGAGCCCAGCCTAATATCATCCTCTAATGAGTTTAATACAGCCTTTACGCTCTAAGATCAAGATTCACCTGTGCCACAGTGCCTATTTGTAACCAAATTGTTGATGACATTAGTCAATACCAAAAAAGAACATTTTCTGTTTGTACTGAATACGCCTTTGGCAAACACAAAGATCAAAACTACATCACATTAACTCACCTTTAGGGAATGGATTGGGCTGGACAGAGCCCAGGAATGAATGTACAATCGGAGACACAAAGGCACTGTTGAAGGTCAGCTTGGTTGGTATTTCCTTTGGAGTTTGTAGCTCTGTTCTTATCGTCTCTATATGACAGGACGGTTGTCCGCTTACAGGTGTCCAGAGAAACAGCGGCAAAACGCTACTCCAAAAAACTTCTTTCATTCTGGACCTCATGTTGAGCATTAGCCAGTAAGTTTTTAGGTCATTTCTCGATTCTTATGGGCATCAAATGTCACCTATGGCATGATAAATGTCAATAATTACTCTATTCACTTAAAAGCTTCTTTAGAACATAAAGTCACTGTAAGTAGCCTATGACCATTGTCTTATAATTACAGCAATCTTTGTAATAATTAGAGAAAGAGGAACGGCAGCGTTTGCCAGCTATACTTACGTCCTAAAACTCATCTTCCTGACTAAAATATAAAAACAAAAACACTGTCAGGAATGAAAACGCTCTGAAAGCTACAAACAATTATTTTTAAATAAATACAATCATCTTCCAATTCTTTTGTTTAACAAGTTCATACATATTAATACAGACTGAAGCAGAATTCGATCTTCTTGACGGAGTCAGACCAATTTAAATGAACAGGTTGGACTGACATTAAACGAATCAGCGTTAAGCAGAAACTGTACTGAACTGTTTACCTAAAACAGTAACCTGAGAACTAAGTACGAAAAGGAGAAGCTAGAGAGATAGAGCACTTATACAGCTTAGGGCAAAACTCATAAACAACGGTAGAATTACTAGAATACTACCTGTTTTAGATTTAAAGTCCTCCAGCAATTGTTGAGCGTGTTCCTCTTAGTTCAGTTCAAATAAGTCTGAAGATCCGATGTCTTTATCCCTCTGAGAGAAACCTGATGTCAACACTGAAGTTTAGCTGCATTGAGTGAAGCAATAAAAGAGTGAAGCAGTAAAAGAGTGAAGCAGTAAAAGAATGAAAGACTAAGACAAACTGAAATGGGAGGGAGAGAAAGAGCGGGAGGGAGGCTCCGAGTTCATAGTTTTCAGAAAGGAATCAATTTAAAGAGGTCATATGATGCGATTTCAATTTGTCCTTTCTCTTTGAAGTGTATAGCTGGCCAATCACAGCACACCTCGCTTTTTCAGACCTTTGTAAAAATCGACGCGTTTCAGAAAGGCGGGGCATAGAGGAGAAACAATAATGTACAGTATGTGGAAAATAATGTGTTTTTTGAACCTTAAACCGCATAAATACATTTCATTACACCAAATACACAAAATAATGTTATTTTTAGCAACATCATATGACCCCTTTACATCTGAGGGTGACCGCATTTGATTTTCTATTGCTGTTGTTTCTAAAATTATATTTAACTTAATATTTAACATAACTTTTTGTTCTTGTTTCAGTTTAGATAAAAGAGTTATCAAAGACAAAATTGTATCTATAAAATTACTATTATTGACAACGAACATTTGGTCAATTACAAAAAATTACAATGACAAACTAACAAAAAAAAAAAACTAATAATAATAATAATGTCCCAGATGACAAAAAAAGATGAATACTAAAGAAACTTCTTTAAAAAACATTACACCTTATATTTCATGGATTAAATTGCAGGCCTACATTTCTATAAAAAAAAGAAAGGAAGGAAGGAAGAAATCCCATAGCTTTTATGTTTCGCAGAAGAAAGGTTTGGAACGTCAAAGAGAATGAGTAAATTATGGCAGAATTTTCATTTTTGGGTGAATTATTATTTTAAGAATATCCAATTACTTTTAATTTATTAATTGAAAACATGATTAGTGGGTGCATTAAAGTATCTTTTCGCTAAGAACTGCATTTATTAATATCTTAATTAGGGCTGCACGATAAATCGAAATGGAATCGACAGAACCGGCTTTACTATCAAAATGCGCATGACAATCGCATTCGATTAACCGTGCAGCCCTATTAGACATGAACAAAAAAGGGAGTGTCACTTCTTTTGCCCAAAAACATTTAACAGCAGATAAATAACCATATGCACATGTGGACTCTTAATAAAACTATAAGTTGGATTTAAAACTAATTATATTGCTAAGCATTCCAAATGCTTGAACTTATTCAAAGATCAAAAACATTTGTCATGAGACATTTAATAGTTTCCTTATTGTTCCTGTTAACTGCCCTGACAATTTAGAGTTCTGTTAAAAGGTAACATGCTTCCTGGTGGCCTCCGACTGCTACCATCACTTATAAACAACCAGGTTAGCAAACACTGCTCTAACCTTAAAGCACAACAAAAACACTTCTAGATCTGGAGCTGTTTGCAGAGGATCTACCTGGAAATATGAAGTGTCAATAACACTCTATAGACTATTAGAGTTGTTGTTCACATTTCTTATCAGAAACCCAGTGTTCAGGAAGCCTCTCATAATTTTTAATGTACTGTGGATATGCGTATTTTAACCATATACCAGGTATGATAGCTTGTGAAAATGTGTTTTATTGGTACCATATATCAATTGTCAATGGCAGACACGAGGCAAAAATATATCTGTAAAACAACAACAAAGGGGCTCTGAAAACAAAGCAAAGAGCATACCTGCTTTATGGCAAATTTGAGAAATGAACCTGAAACAACACTATTTCACGAGTGATGTATTCAAGAAAAATGATTTTGTATTTGTATGCCTTAGGATGGTTACATTTAACTACAGTTTAGTCTTTGACCATTTTTATAAATCAGTGGAAGCCTTACAGTGGAGTGCCCTCTGGTGTTTTTAAAACCCAAGACACAGTAACCTCAAAGGGGCTTCTTGGAATTATTGATCTGGATCATGTAAATCATGTAACATAAGAACTCTTATGGAGTCATTCAAGGATTTATATATCATCTTAGGTTAATGAAAAAAAAAACATAAAAAGTAAAATAATGCACAGAGGCAACATCAAATACATAGCAACATATATCGTCTCGATATATAATGCAATGGCAAAGACTTTAAAAAAATAAATACATTGTACATTGACTTAAAAACTATAATCTACCTTCTCAGGTGAAAGGTAGTTGTACCTTTAATGCATCTAGAAACAATCTAAAATGAAAGGTTTGGTTTTACTTTTGACATATGAAGGGGTGAAGGGCACAGGGTTCCTAGAGAAGAGTAAATAGAATTACACTTATACAGAACTTGGCTACAATCTTAAATATACAATCACAAATACACAAACAAAATTATGATAAAACAAAATCGTTATATAAATGTGTCAAATTAAAGGATCTTGCTCCTTGGTCTGTAGCATCGGGTAAAAGAAAACAATGGCTGGCATACTAATTTGATGTTTTCACTAGACTTTTAAAGCAAACTATTCCATGTGAATGTCAGGTACTGAGCTTGGTCTGTTCTTTTCAATTGGCTAAAAACCTCCAAGAAACAAAATGTTCATAGCTACGGTCTCAGGACAAAATGTGCCACCAGCCGTTGTACTAACAGTGTTGGATTTAGATCCCGCAAACAATGAGACTGTTACAGCTGCAATAGCTAATGTCTGACACATGCAGTTCCCAGACATACATGCTATGATCATGTAATCTCATTTTCAAAGACAATTAAAACAGAAACTGAAAGACAGATAGGTGTAAAGCTTAGAGCAAAGTAGCATCTACTTACAATAATATTGATAACAGTAACAATACAAAATGTGTTATTTTACATTGAGATTGACAGCATTTTCCAGTTAAAGATTATCAATTTTTTTTGTTTTAATAAGAACAAAATTCATCATAATCATTTTTTAAAAATAGATCCAAAATACAGTGATAAGATCTGTATTGATCTGTACAATACAGAGTGCAAAGGATATTTAGAGTTTTTTGTTTGCTTGGTTATTTTTTCTCTTTAGAAATCGTTATTAAAAAAAATTTGAAAAGAACAAGAAACTAAAAAGAATGCAAACAATAATAAAAAAAAAAAATCAAACACTTATTTTGAGTCTGGTGTAATGGTCAGGCAAGCTCTCAGTGACCATCTCGGGCATGACCAAACTCAAGAACCTCGATGCTTTACACTTTATTTAGTTTTACTTAAAGGACTTTACGTAGTGGTTCTCAACTCCGGTCCTCAAGCTCCGGAACTGTACAGGTTTTTGTTCCAACCAGGTCCTACAAAACAAATAATTGAGTTTTTAAAAATGGAGCGTTGGGTTTGAATCTGAGGTGCACACAATGGTCATATCACTAAACGGTTAGATAAAAAGTGATCCTTTCCTGTCAAGTGAGCACAACAGAAACGGCCATGCGTGTCAAAGCACAGCACGCACAGAGAGACCCGAGGTTGGAACAATAACCCACAGCCTGATCGCTAAGACTGATCGAGACACAGAAACGGACGGTGTTGGAAAACGACTCCCAAAGAAACAAAAGAATCAACAAAACGGAATGTCTGATGGCGACAGAGGAGGAGGAGGATGAGGAGGGCCAATTTCACGTCTGACCAATTGAGGACTCGTCAAGGCAGAAGACAAGGACCGGATCGTGTGAGCAAGCGAGCGAGGTGTCCTCGAGCGGCTTCTCGAGCCTTTCGCTAGCCCCTAACACTTCTACTGCGATGACTGTGAGGTGGGGTTGTCATTTTTGCTCTCCTGGCTGGAGGGAGCTTTGCTGTTCCAGGGGCTGTTGGTGCCCAGGGCGGGGGAACTGTTGAAACTGTCCTCGTCGTCGATGCCATTGGCCGCATCAAACTGTGTGTTCTCCAGCCGCGTGATGAGCCGCTCATCCTCGTCCCCGAACTCCCCTCCCATCAGAGTGGGCTCTCCCACCAACATCACATCCTGCAGGGGACAGGAAGGGGCGCAAACATTATCCCCGCAACACGGGGGTGCTCCGTAGGGGGACGCAGTGGCTTTCTACACCACATCGCAACTGCAGAAGGCACTGAGGAACTACACCTCCACTATTCTGCCCACTACAAGCCCAAATCAGCACGGCGCACCAGCCACAGGAACTTAAACCAGCAGTGCTGTATGAGAAAAGGCTACGTTCACCATGCTGAACACTAAATAGCTCTGCCATGGTGGGCATCCCGGATCCTTGAGTGCTGCACGGGTTCATTCCACCTCGGGTCTCTAGTGTTGGCTGCGTCTCTGGAGCTCAAAACACCCAACAGACTGACAAAAAGCACAAAAAACCCACAGACCTGCGGCCCTAAAGGACCAGGGACTGCCCAGCATTGGATCATGTCCACTTGTCTCTATGTTGGGTCTGTCTTCCTAATATTATCCATAACTTGAATACAAGCATTGGTTCACCCTTCTGCCGCTACCCATCTCCCAAAGCTCAAAATGGACTTTAAAATTAGATGCTTACAGGTACCTGGCTGGAAAGCGCAAAACTGCTGGCTGGACTTTTCTTTTTACTGTTGCTGTTGTTGTTGTTGTTGTTGTTGCCCCCTCCAGAACTCATTGTGCTGCCACCAGACATTTTCCGTTTCCTTCGCTTGTTGGGGGCTTGTCTTGGTGGCTCGGCTGGAGAAAGAACAAGGGGAGATATCTAAAACTCATGCGGGACACTGCTGGATCTTTCACTTTCAGAAGAAAGTCGCCCGATTCTCACCTGGTGGGGCCACCATCCTCTGCCATTTCTGAAACAGACAGGTTTTGAGGCAGTCTCGTGGGCTGAGACTGTACGTCTTGTGCCTGGACATCAGCTCCTGCATGGGCTCCAGGATTACACAAAGCTGTGGGAGAGGGAAAAAACAGTTACCGAGATGTTTTTGTAATTCACATCCATCGTTCTGTAGACTGATGGAAATGAACTTACTCGGAGGTAGTTCAGCGTAGAGTTAGATAAGCCACATCTTGTGATGTTTTTTGATAGCTGGTCAAGCATTTGGGGGTCTTGGGCCTGTTGAGGAAGAAATTTAGTAAATCAACAAAAATTGTTTGCAGACATGGTTTTTGCCCATGATTTACCAAAGACAAGCACAAGTTATGCTAAAGACATCTATTGAAACTACAAGGTGGGTCATTTTTTTAACAAAACTTAACTTAAAGGGGTCATATGATGCGATTTCAAGTTTTCCTTTCTCTTTGGAGTGTTACAAGCTCTTGGTGCATAAAGAA